GGTGGCGCTGAGCAAAATTTTTCTACATTGTCATATGACCACTGCCCAGCGTGCATCTGGCTGTAGTTACATATACTCAACTGTTGACAGCTGTGCAATTGTGAGTTCGACTGTTTGACTCGTAAACAATGTTCTGCTCGATGTTAGTTTCTCGGAATAACTGGTAGTTTGACGAAATATGATATTCGGTCGAAACGTTGAGAAAATTACAATAACTCAACAGCCGTGGCACTGGCTGTGCGAACACAAAACCGCAGAGCTGTAGTAGCTGTTACCCATTTATTTCTTGAATTTCATTCCGGTCTCAGCTGATGTAGCTGCCACCACTGTTTAAAGTAATTTAATTAAGTGGTAAGAAAAAGCTAATGATATTCGCATCCGTTCTCGATCTATGGATCTAAGCAACAAATTAATGCTGTTATAATCTTCTTTTATCTGCCCTTGTTCCTTCTTTCCACATTTTAAACCAGTGTGGCAAAGTTCTTGGATATGTTTAGCCTTCAAATCGTCATCATATACCCTACTTTATAAAAACTGGCTAGAAAACGTATCCATGGTTGATCACCACATCTTTGATTCAGACTGATTCTTACTAAAAAAAGGGTTGTCTTCCGAGTTGCAACCTACAAAAACCACTGCCCTAATTAGAACAATGGTCGCTACCGACATTGAAACAATTTACAGTGATATCTTGCGCAAGTGCCATAGTATCGGTTAAAACTAGCTTTGTTTCGTAAAATAACAACCTCGGTATTTGTGAATTTACTAGCAAACTGCAAATCTTCGATACCGCCGGTGAGAGTAACAATCTGCTGTCGTCAATTCTCAGGTAGAATTACACAGCGTAATCGCACCGTTTAAGCAGACCACGGTCCATGGTATTTTAGCATCTATAGTGCATGGATAGTACTGCGGTATTCGAAAACCACCAGTTTGCTAGGAAACCTATAATACCAGAGTTATGTTATACGTATGGACTGTTCAGTGGATGTTCAGAACAGCGTATCGTTCAGCGTCCAAGCACAAGCGTCTTTTTATATAAAAATGAAGTTACCGCTACGATTTCCAGCATCTCATGCCTTGAAATGTAGCCATCGCCGTCTAGGTCGTACATCTGGAAGGCCCACCTCAACTTTTGCTCGGTTTTGCCCCGAGATGTAACGCTGAGTGCACACATGAACTCCTTGAAGTCTATCGATCCGTCGTTGTTCGAATCAAAAATGCGGAACACGTGTTTCGCAAACGCAGAAGCATCGCCGTACGGAAACAGATTACTGTATATTCTAAAAAATCATTTAAAACATTGACGGAACAGGGTGAGAATACAACACTTTTTGAACTCTTCTGCCGACAGGGTTCCGTCAGGACAATCCTTCGTGAAGCCTTTGTACCAGTCGTGAATTTCCTGTTCGGTGAATTCCGTGTTTCTGCGAAGGTCGTCGATCACTTCAGGACGAAGGCGGCTGTTTTTCTGACCCATGGTCGAAATACAAATCAGAAGCTGAAACGGTAACAACTGAAGTTATATCATTTTTACCGTTGTTCTGAAACCTCTTGATCTGGTCGATAAAAACAAGAACCACTTTAAAACGGCTAGGTGATATGATCTCTTTTGTACAATGAGTGGGAAAAGCATCGACTCGCTCTAGTACTCGAAGAACATGTATATGATAGGGCCTGTGCGTCATTCAAGAAGACTGTTCACGTAGACATCTGGAACTTTTGTCATGAACTGGTGTCGTGTCGCCTGTAAATTCAAGTTATAACTTGGGTTAGCGACGCGTCTCATCCCCAGATGAAATCCAACCTTCAAGCAGCCAATGGGAAAGATCAACCTCCACCGTATTATAAGTGACTAGAAAGTTAGAAACCCGAAGAAAGTGAATGGCAGATGCTGAATATATTAGTCTGCATTTTTCCAGAAAACTAAATGGTGTTAAAGTTGAAGAAGAGGATACAATTCAGCCTATGAGTTTTACGCTTCATTTAGAAAACTGTGTTGTAGGATTAGAGTCTACAAGACCGTCATTCTTCAAATCTAGACTTTATGGAGAAACAGAGCAAACGAAAGTCAATACCTAAACTACAGTAGTAAGTGAAAAAGGTCACATTGGACAAAACAAAACAAGGATCGATCTGCGATGTTGTCGTGGATGTTACTTTTGATGTATCGAGTAAAGATAGATGGGCATTACAGTCAGGTTATGCATTCATTTTAGCAGGGCTCATGGTATACCGGCTGTCCGTGGTATACAGTAAGCGTTCGTTGTTTAGCCATTATGATCCAGCAAAGAAAGCACCAGCATTCGATCCAGTTACTTCAGTTGCTTAAACCCAGATGGTAAACACTGATTATGTCTGTAGACTGATGAGGCGCGAAGTTGTGAAAGAAATCATCTTAAGTAAGCTTCATAATAAGCTACCACACAGCGATTGTCTGCAGTTATTGAAGAAATTCGAACCGCAACGGAGACTAACATTTCCTATGCGACCAAGCACAAGTTAAGACATTCTACGGCTGGTCTCAACGAGACAAATTACAGAAACCGTATAAAATACCATTGAAAACGAATAACCTATCGACCTCACAGAAGCTGCAGACGCAAGACTCAAAGTTTAAGAAACCAACATTGAAAAACAGAAAAGTTTTTTTTCGTTTGCACTTTCTTCCAAGTCAGCTGCGCCACATTCTCTTGCTAAGCAAATTCAAAACTGATGATGGCAGTAGTATGGTTTTTCATTATATCTATTTATCCTGCACACGTTTCACTTCACATATGCACTGCATGCTCGACGAATATCAGAGTACCTAAAGATGCAACTCCAAACAAGTCCGTATCACTGAATGGTGACGATCTGCAAGTTCAATGGTCGCTTCTCCTTTCGTCTCTCGAAGACAGATGCGTCAGACAATGCTTCCAACGTCGACCATGTTGCGCCAGGGTCTCAGATTCCGTAGAAGGCAACTGGAGTCCGGAACAGACTTCTTCCATATATTTTCACCAGCTTACTCTTAGTCGACACTGGGTCTTCTGCCGATCGGTTTGGCAAGAAAGAGTTGCTTAGCCTTTCTTTCCGTAGGCACTCGCAACACATGGCCAAACCAACGCAGCTCTGACTTCTCAATCTGGAGAAGCAAAGCCTGTATACGAAAGCACTTAAGGATGTCTGTATTCCGGAACATGTCCAGACAAGCAACGCCAGCGACTCGTCTGAGATAGCCCATTTCAGCAGCTTGTACGCCGTCCTCGAAATTTTTCAGTGATGGTCCACGACTCATGACCGAAGGTAAGCGCATGGGGATAAAGATCGACTCGAACACTGAGACCTTAGTTCGCAGACTGTGCTCTGCTTTAGTCACAATGGATGGGACTAGTTAACGCAAAACGCCACTGGCCAGTCCAATTCGCCGGTCGATTTCTCCAATTTTCCACCACTAGTAAATTCGACTCCAACGTATTTGAAATTCTCCACCTGGTCCACTGACTGTTCATTATTCAGAAGAGAGCAATACACAGGAGAATAAGAAAGCACTGCGCCTTTCGCTTTAGATGCGTTCACACGCATGCCGGTCACGTCGCACGCGGCTGCAAACCTTTCTAAGGAGCACTGGAGATCAGTTTCAGAAGACGCTAATAAAACAAGGTCGTCTGCAAGCAGCAACCTTCTCGTCTTCACATCTCCTACACCGATGGACTCCTCGCCATGGCGCCTCCAGACTATTCTATCTATCCATCTACAACAAAAACAGGAAAAGGGACATGACGCAGCCGTGGCGGAGACCAGTGCGAACTGGTTGAATGCTTTCGACTTAATATCATTTACTCTGACG